GTGTATCGACATTCAATTTATTCAGGATTTAGTCCCGTTCAGTCACACTCAATATTAACAACACCAAGTATTTTGCCTAAGCATGCAAATTTAAAAGCGGCAGCCAGTAAGATTCAGCAATTTTGCTTATGCTTACGTCTCGATAATGATATTAATGAGGCCATAAGTCCGCCTTTGTCCCCAGATGCAGGTCAACTAAAATGACGTGTTTATATATACGCCGTGTGTATATGCATGGTAAAACTATTGCGCAAATTGGTTATATGACGCTCCATAAGTGCGGGATTTTCCCCGGCGAGAAAAATAACTGATTAATCTTATTACTCGTGCTAGGCCTTTGGCCGCAGGACGAGTATTAAATTCGGTGCATTTTTGTTCGTGTTCTTGGATGGGCACAAATCGCTGGGTAATTCATGTAAGTCTAACATAATGGCTTCAGTTAAATTTTTACCCAAATTATCCATAAATTACCGTGCATTTTGAGGAAAATTCGGGAAAATTGAACAATTTTACAAGGAATTTCGACATTTGTAAGAAACAACAACCTATTCGCAAGTTGAAAGTTTTTGCAAGTTGGGTTCGAGGTTGGGTTTTGGCAGAAGAAAGCGACACCGTTCGATTCAGCGTAAGAAATTGTACTTACGGACGTCAAGTGTATTACTAAACATCAGTATTCTAGCGTTTATGGCCTTTTGAAAATCAAGCGAAATTGTATTGACAAATCGCTCGCAGTACGTATAATTTGTTGACAAATCACTTGCAGTACGTTTCATAGACTGATAGACATAGTGTATTTGTATAAATTCCTGATGGCGCAAATTATATGGATAAAAATACCACTACTAGAAATTGTACTAATTACGGATGTCAAATGTATTATTAAACAACAGTATTCTAGCGATTTATCATTTTACCGTAAACCTCCGACTATAAGCCCTGGACTTATACAAGGGTGGGCGCTTATATACGGGGGGCTTATACCTGGACACGAGCCTGGACAATTTTTCGTGTTAGTAATAAACAAATCAGACATAAACAGGTCTAAACAAGTCAGTCATAAACAGGAAAATAAACATGTATTAATAACTCGTTTTGATTCACATAGTGGGCTATAAAGATCGACAATGACAATGTTTTTAAATAATATTATTGTCATCTGTTCAAAAACAGTTCTCTGCTATATTAAAAGGCAATTTGACCAATGTTGAGTAAGGTATGGGGCTACTGGGCTTATATTCAGGGGACTTATATTTTGGGGGCTTATATTCGGGTGGGCTTATATTCGGAGGGGGGGTTATAATTATTTGGAATGAGGTGAGCGTTAGTATATGTGGTGGGCTTATATTCGGGTGGGCTTATATTCCGGGGGGGGGGCTTATATTCGGGGGGGCTTATAGTCGGAGGTTTATGGTATTTATATACCAGGGAGGCAAAGCGAGCCTTGGGGACGACTAATGAAGACTAATGCACAGCCCTTGCATGGGCAAGCTGAGAGTAAAAAATGCCCCACCCCACGGATATTTTAAATGTTAATTAAACTTTTAGTGGCATATAGTAACATAGTCATTTAATAACATTATAGTATTAAACTGCTTTGGAATATTATAAAACTATAAACTTGAATCTTGCTAAGAGTGGTTAATTAATAGTATTTAAACAATGAAATCATAAACCTTTACCAGTAATAGTTGTATTTATTAAAATTTGCATCGCACAGGTTATAATTTTCGCTTATTCTGACAATAAATTTCACGCCACCTTGACCACGCCCACATGTGTGCCTGAAATCAGGTTTTACTGCTTTAAAATTTGCGGGTGGGATTCTGGGCAACCATTTGTCATCCCTGGGGTTCATAGCGACTATAACAATACCCGGCCCCCATGCACATATATGAAAGGCAAATTCCCGACCCCCTCAGGCAAATTCCCGGGGGTGTCCCATGGGGGGATGGTTACTCCAGGAATTGACCAGAGATGGATTTTCATATTTTCATTCGGGGGGTGGATAAAGATCTGGGGGTGCTAATGCTTGCTTTGGCCGGGGCGTGGTGGCGCAACGTCCAGAAAGGCCAAGGAAAAAGTTTAACAAAAGTTGTTTTCTAGGCCTGCATGGTGAGTTCTGAGACCATTATATTGGTAATTTTACAAATTTAGTAGTAATAATAATCAAATATGAGACTATCAAATCAAAATATATATAATTTGTGGGGGTGCAAACACTTTTGGGGGCGGTGCCAAATGCCTCTGGGAGTGCAAATAATTTCTGTGGGTGCACACCCCGCAGATCCCCACACCCAGAAAATCTGCCTGGAATTGACTTGTGCATTAAACTGAAAGGCAACCTTAATAAAACTTTCTGTAGAGTGAATCCACTTTTATATTGCAGTTGAGTTTTGAATTAGAACAACAAAATTGATTTAAAATGTGCTGTGTATTTATTATTCAAATTTTATATTGAAATATATTCAAACAAATATAAAAGATATCATTCAAAGTTAAATTGAAATAATAACCTGCTTTAACCTCAAACACTGATGGACTCAACGAATTGATACAAAAGTAAAATTGTCAGGCAACTATAGGCAGTGTGATATTCTGACATTAGAAGATAAATATTATGGTACTTCATGCTATTTATGAAATTATGATCTCAAATAATTATCTCTAATTGTGTCCAGTTGTGTTGTTTCAACAACTATGTCAAGAAGCCCCAGGTCACAGATGCCTCAGGGCCAGATTAACCATATGGTAGAAGCGGCATATGCCACAGGCCTGACAGTTCAGTTTAGGGACCCTGTGCTTTCTCGTAAATTTTTTGTTCCCTGTTTCAGTGCAGGGCCCAACCGAACATAATGCACAGCAGGTATATACTTTTAGGTATTACTTATCATATGATATTATTGCCGATACCCATTGTGTCACTTAATTTTAGTACAAATTATCGATGTATACTTCCTTTTTTTTGTAAATACACAAGCAACTTTTTAACACGTAGAATACAAATTTACAAAAGCATGTTTAAGTTTTTTAATCTTTCTGAATTCAGTTTTTAAAATGCAGGGGGGGGTATCATGGGGCCCCACACTGATAATATGCCCAGGCGGACCGCGGACAGGCCCCACAAAATGTTAATCTGGCTCTGCAAAACACAACATTTGAATTGCAACCAGTGAATTTTGAATACCCCTGGGGCATATATAAACCGACAAGCACATATACAGGGTGTATAAAAAAAGGAGACCTTTAGAAATCAAGCATATTGTTAAAATTTGAATGCCTTTTCAACTCCACATATGCTGAACCATAGTGTGTGAAATATTGATGGGGTGCATATATTAGAAAAAGGAGACCTTTGGAGATTGAAATAACGTTTAAACACAAGATTGTCTGCTCCTGGGAACAATCTACCATGTACAGTGTACGTAGATCGCATGTTACACACTTGTGGGCTTAGGAAAGTGCTCCAGGATTCAAATTATAACAATGGTTGATTTCTAAAGGTCTCCTTTTTCTAATATATGCACTCCATCAATATTTCACGCACCACGGTTCAGCATATGTGCAATTGAAAAGGCATTCAAATTTTAACAATATGGTTGATTTCTAAAGGTCTCCTTTTTTTTTATACACCCTGTATATGCTAGGAATTTGGTGGAAAAGCACCAACAGATATTTTACAATAACAAACGTTTAGATATCAAGGAATTATCAAAATTGATACTGAACTATACACTCTGCATGCATTTGGAGTCACTGCACTAAAACAATATACACTGAGTTGAACATTCAACTGGATTCACTCTACAGAAAGCTTTATTAAGGTTGCCTTCCAGTTTAACAGAATAACAAATAAAAAGAGTGCTAAAATTACAAATATATTTAGTAAAAACAAAGACATGTATATATATTTTGTAAAAAGGCTTAGTATTAAAGATGGATAATTGAAAGTTTGAAACCCTCTGGTTGATCAAGGTTAAACATAATTGATATAACGAACTACTTATTTTACCTTAAAAGTAAGCTTGAATATAGTAGATTTATATTCTGCGTCCGTAATTTGAATTACAAACTAGAGATTGTGTGTCATACCACTGTGCCTGTGGCGATTAAATATTATTCCTGCATGGCAACTTTGAATGAACAAAACTGACCATATTTTAAGGCAATCGGGATAATGTTCGTTTTAAAAGCATTAACATAACATCTTTTATCCACTGTGGAGCGATCAGCTTGGTAAGACTTCGCAAAGTATCTCACATTTGGCAAAATTCACCTTGGTTCAGGTTGTTCGCCATACATTTCTACAGTAATTTGTATCACAGAAGTAGAGAAGCTATATCCAGTCGACTATTAGATCAGTGAGGTCAGTCCGAGTTTTACTAATAGAGCTGCCTAAAGCTGCCTCGTACCCAGGCGTCTCTTTGTAAAAAAACAGTGATGCGCATATGACGAGTTTACACAAAGTATTGTAGTGGGGAGAGATGAGTGCATTATTTAAAGCGCCTGGGTATGAGGCAGCTAATAGAGTCCAGTCCGCGTTTTACTAATAGAGTCCAGTCCGTGTTTTACTAATAGAGTCCAGTCCGCGTTTTACTAACAGAGTCCAGTCTGCGTTTTACTAACAGAGTACAGTCCGCGTTTTACTAATCTGAGTCCAGTCCGCGTTTTACTAATCTGAGTCCAGTCCGCGTTTTACCAGTCCAGTCCAGTCCGCGTTTTACTTATATGCCATTAAAATATCCTCGCAGTGCGCAAAGTCCTCATAATTACGGAAATACGTCTACTGTACACTGCGACGGTTGTTTCTGACGAGTACATACGAACACGCCATCACACATGCTTGAACTCATATTTATATATATTCATATTGTGACGCTGTCATGGCGTTCGGACGGAGTTTTTTGCTGTCCCAAATTTTGTCGATTTTATTTTATTTTTGTGCGATTGTTGCAAGTATAAATACAGTGGATAAAGTTTATGATCACACTGAATCTCACGACATGTCTGGAGAAGGCAACAATCTTTTGGTGAAATTGCGACAGTTTATCAATAGTTATAATGATTGTGCGTGTGAAGCTGATGGAAAAACTTTCAAACAGGGGCTTGTGTATTACGGAGCTAAAGCTTTTATGGAACAATTGGCAATGCGTTTTCACCGCGTATATTTGTCGGAGGACATTGGCGTTGACTTTAACAATGCAAGCTGGAAAGGTCAGACAAAACATTTTGATTTTTGTACATTGTCCTGTATCATGTTATGTGGGTTTAAATACCAAAATTTCGAACACTTTAAATTAGTAACTATTAAGGAGTTTAAACGGACTGATTTTCCTCGGGAATTCAGCGATTTTTCAGTTACTTTGAGTAAATTTGATGAAATCAGAAGTGATTTTTATTTAGTGTATTGAATTTTCCGTTATCGCCCGTAGTCGTTCGTTACATCTGCGTGTATGATTACGTCATTGTGCACGCGCGTGCGCAAATTCAAAAATCTCGCATGGAAATTAAACATACAAGGCGTCACAAATTTCTCGCTTCGAGACTGCGTATTATCCAAATACGGATGCATAATTTAACATTGAGAAAAACTCTGGGCCAGAATCTACGGCAAACAGCAAGAAAACAAGATTTGTGAGTAATGTAAATACCGACAGTGATTTAACTTGTTTTTATCAAAATGGTAGAAGTCTTAAAGCGAGTGGGAAATTACCTCATTTTCAGGACATTGTTCTCACAAACCATTTTGACATTATTGCACTTACTGAGACCTGGTTAAATGATTCCGTGATCAACCATGAAATTTTACCGCACGGCTATACAATCTACCGCACGGATAGAGATTTTGCAGAAAAAGAGGAGGAGGTGTACTACTTGCTGTTAAAGAAAGCATACCAGTTGAAATATTTCACATTACCATTGTGGGATTAGAACTCACAAGTGTTTTCATCAAGACCATGAACAAAAACATTCTTGTCTCCATTTGCTATCCATCCACCTGATGCTGGACCAGAATTTATTCAGCAATTGAAGGAATTTTTCAAGTGCTTGTCTGATCATAAAATCAAAGATTTAATTTTAATTGGAGACTTTCCTTCCATTAATTGGTTAGATGGCTTGGGCTTTTCGGACATTTCATCGGACATTAATTTCATCGATTCAATTAATGAAGCCGGGCTTTTACAAATGATTACTTCTCACACTTGTTGTCAGAACATGATTGACTTGCTATTTGTCAATGATGAACAAATTATTAACAACAAAAACAATTAATATCGAAGTTGTTGATGACTCTTCAATGTGCGTAAAATCAGATCACAGAGCCATTACTTTTGACGTGCATATTAAAATAAAAACGAAAAAACAAACAAAACGAACGGTGTACAACTACAAGAAAGGAGATTTTAACGGTCTGCGTGAGGCCTTGAACCTGTTAAATTTAAGTGACATTGTTTCAAGCGAAAATGATGTTGACATCGCCTGGATGAAATGGAAAGACACGTTTGTTACTGCCGTTGATACTTACATTCCGAAGTTTACAACAAAATCGTAAAGTTCTCCACGCTATGTTACAAGCGATCTTGTGCATGAAATTTGGAAAAAGGAAACTCTCAGAAAGAAAGCAAAAAAGTCAATTTCCACAGAATTGTGGGAGAGGTTTCGTGAATTGAGGAGAAAAATTAAATCCGAAATACGTACACTGTTATTTTCGGGGTGTTATTTTAACACCACTTTGAAGGGATTCTAGCGGGGTAATATGGGAGTTAAAAATTTTGAGCTCTTTTAACTCCATAACTGGAGTTAAAATAATACCCTTTGAGGGGTTACAGGCATTCGCAAACTATTCAGTATTCAAAAGTAACACCACGTAAGGGGGGTTAGTGAATCTAACTCCATTTGAGGGTTACTGGCGTCAAGAGCAAGTGTCACGTGATTACATATGGCGTTCAAGTTGATATTTTCTATAAAACAGATCTGTGAATTTTCCTGTTATATATAGGGAATGAAAGCTTTAAGAATCAAATTATGGATGAAGAACATTTCAAAGGTTAGTTTATTTGTAGCCCATTTAGCTTAAACGGCGGATAAGTCAAATTTTCATTCGTTTTGTGAATATTAAACTGAATACAACTTTATATACAAGTTTTAAACCTTAAATATGTCGTTGTATACATAACTGTTCTTTTCAGATTGAAAAAAATATTTTGATTGTTCCAATGAATACACAGACTTGCTTGATATTCTGGTCTTATCCACCGTTTAGGCTAAACGCGCTACAAACAACCGGCCCCTGGGGTTGGCTGTTTAACAGGTTGCATCAAGGGCATTTATATTAGCTTAAACGGTGGACAGGCAAAAAATTATGATACATTCCATTCATCTTGTAAATAATTAAATTCCATCAACTAAATGTGCAGTTGTATGCATAGTTGTTATGTTTAGACAGAAAATATTAGTTTGATTGTAGTCAATAGTTCATAAATTTGTATATATTTTTTTTACTTATCCACTGTTCAGCTAGGCTAAACACCTTAGATACAGCTGGCCCCTGAACAGATCTGCAACAGATTTGTTAAATCCTGTTGTCAACAAGCCGATATCTGGATGCGTTCGCTCGCCTTTTACCTGTCTCGGCTGTCTGTTCTGACAGGTCTGCAACGGCCTGCCCACAGGTCTGTTACAAGCTGTTGTGACAGAGCTGCAGCAATGCTGTTTTCAACCACTTGCGACAGACCTGTTGCAAACCGAGCAAGGCGCCTTATGAAACTTGTGTATATGCATTATTTTGAACAAAAAACGGCCAAACAGGTTGCCATATTTCGGTTGTATCTAGACTTGTAGTGTTTCGTGAAATAGCCAGACTTTCATATAAACACTTATAAAGAAACTTGCGAGATAATTTTTGAGCAAAACAGCCGAAAAAATATGACAAATGAATTAAAGAAAGGTTCTTATCGTAAACAATTTTCAAAATTAATTGGTCTTCAAGTACGACCGAAATATGACAACCTACTTGCATATTTTCCTTCAAAATAGTACATACAATAACACAAAGCTTCAATAAAGGCGTCTTCCTCGATCACAGATTTACTTGAAATTGGAAAGAAATTATATAACGAATTTCATATTCATATCTACAATGAAGAATGTTGCATGTATTTTTCATTTCTTAAGGTCTAGATCTTGTATTTTCATTGCCACCGTTTCTTCAAAAATCAAAACAGCTTTGAACTTGTTTGATTTTGTGTGAGGCAGTTGTTGAAATTTTGTTTGGCTCAAAATTCAAAAACAACTAAACATGATTATGTGATTGATATGTTTGTAATATATTGTCCAATTGCAACGAGGAATGATGACGTGTGCACACGCCTTTATCCAATCAGATTAAAGAAATATAGCGATAGCACATGTCAGCAAATTGGAATTTGGATTTTGGAAATCGGCATTATTTTTTAAAAATAAAACAGCGACTTTTGCATTTAATCAGAGAATAGATACTATGGATTATAGTCTCCTATGTGATTTAATATTGCCACCAATGACAATGATTAGATGAGAAAGTGAAGCCAGAAGTGTCCATTCTGTGCGATATTTCTCTTTACTCGCATTTTTTATTTGTTTCCTGACAACAGGCTTGTTTGTCGCAGGTCTGATAACAAGCTTGCTGCAGACTTAACAAAAACAACTCGCGATAGGTCTGTTGGAACAAGTTGTAACAGACCTGTTGATTTCAACAGACTTGCTGCAAGTTGTTCTATCAGACCTGTTATCTCTTGTTAGTAACAAGTTTGTAGCGGGTTGTTTCAACAAGTCGCTACGTCTCTGTTGTCAACAGCTTGCGACAGACCTGTTAACGCAAGCCTGTTACGAAACCAACAGACCTGTCGCGACTTGTTGACAACTTGCCACAAGCCGGTAAAATCAACAGCTTGCGACAGGCCTGTGAGATTTCTGGCTGTGTAGTTTACAACTTAATTTTTGCCGTGCATGTTCAGTTCCAATTGGACCAATTGGTTGATTACATGGCTGATTTGAAATTCAGATACTTTTTATGATACCATACATACCTTGACAGGTTGTCTGTATTTGCAGAGGTATTCCTGGCTTATTAAAAAAACTCTAGTTTATATACTCCCAATATTTATTATTTCAACTTGGGATTGCCACTCCCCCAATGGGCATGGCATTTCGAAATGATATATTAATTATATTACTATACGAAAAATCATCAAATGTCTTTACAATTTTGATATTAATACAGTACGACTAAATATTTATTATAAAATATATGTACATATATCTTAAAGTAAATGAATATGCAATTCCAGCTTTTAGTTCATGCGTGCAGGGGATGATGGGAAGTAAGGTATATTGTTGTTTATGCTGAAAAATTTCAATAAAAACTGCTGAAACAATTAAGATATTTCACTATTTACAAATTTAAGCTGTCACTCTGTGTTTACACTGCTGCCAGTTTTATTTTTCAGCATAATCAGTGATATGATACCTTCCAATCAACCCCTGCACACATAAACTAAAAGCTGGAATTGCCTATTCCAACATGTGTGATAGGTGAATAAGATGCTTGTGTGATGTTACTCTGAGTGTATATACATTAACCAACACACCAAGATTACACTGATATCGAAGGAACTAGACTCAGTTCCGAAATATCGCATACTTGAATCGACCTGACCGCGTAGCTTAGTTGGCAGAGCATTGGGCTAGTATTCCTAAGGTCGTAGGTTTGAATCCCACCGTGGCCAGGTATATTTTTCAAGCCTGCCCGGTGTGGGTATACACTGAAGAGTAACATCACACATACAAGTGTGATAGGGTATCAAATGGTGGTATACTGAGTACTTACAGTTATGCACCTATCAATTGACCCCCCCCCCACCCCGGGACATAGTGGGGATTTGATTTGACATTTGTTTTAAAGTGTAAAAACCCCCACCCTACCCGGGCATGTTTGCCACAAAACCCCCCCAAACCCCCCACCCTGGAGGGGCAATCTGACAAAACTACAATTTTTTTTCAACTGAAAATTCTGTATAAAAGTACACACTTCATGCAAATATAAATATCAATTACAACTTTATTATTAATGAACAGAACAACGTACTAATTAACAGTTATTCGCCTCAGGCTTGGTGATTATCAGGGAATATTTGCCGAGAGGCCCGAGACGAAGTCAAGTTGAATATTCCCCGATAATCACCAAGCCTGAGGCAAATAATTGTTTTAGTATTTTTACACAAGTCTTTTGTGTATTTTGGGACTGAATTTATTTTAATTTTGCTTATTTCTCTATCAGTAGCTTCCACAAAACTGCTAGCCGCCATTTTGAAAATTTCAGTTTTTTTATTTTCACCTGTAGACCTTGAATATATTAAACATCTTACTGTAATGCGTCAAATTTGACCAATCAACTTGTAGGATTTGTTATGTTCACTTGTGCAAAAATACTAATTGACAATAGTCAATGGTACAACGAAACATATATAGTAAAAATAGCAGAGATAATTTTATTTTGTGTTTTTATAGGTAGAAACACACAAGGGGCAAAACCATTCCCCAATTAATTCTTCTTCTTCATCAAGGCCAATACATTCAAACTGGAACCATTGGAACTTGCATGTAGGATTGTCGCATGCGACCATTGCTTTGTCCCCATCATCTGGCTTCTGACAGAAGCAGTAGAGCGGTCTTTTCTGGGCTAAACAAACAAACAAACAAACACATTGTCAAGGAGAGATGCGTTTTGTATATAAACTATAGCAGTATATATATGTAGCAAATATCTAGATGACAACATCATACTGCAAATATCTAAATGACAACAACATGTGTACCTTTATTTTTAGCCCGGGTTTTGGCAGCTTTTTTTGCACCAGCTCGCCTATGTTCTGCCAAGCACGACAAGTGATCAACCCATATTTCGACTTCTTCTTTGTTGAGTAAAGTTTTCTTCGCCAAGCATATTTTGGTAGCTTCATCCAGTGGTTGGGCTTGCCTCGCCTTTTTGTTAAACTCAGTTTTTATTACCTGGCTTGGTGGGGGAAAATGACAATCTTTAGTGCCATATTCTGAGACGTGTTTAAAATGTTCCTCTGGAGAAAGAAAATGCCCAGCACAAAAAGACTGACATTCAGTGCAAGTGTTACTACCCCAAGGCCGTTTGGGCTCAGGAATTGGGAGGGGAATATGTGACAGCAATGGACCATCCTTGTACCAACGCCTATCCTCGTCTGGTTTACCTTTTTGACATAATTTATGAATGCAGTCTTTTTTGTAGCATAGCAGGAGTGCAAAGATATATTGACTTAGGTAACCCTTTTAACATATGGCTATTTCGTACCATCCAAACTTCCTTGAAATACTTAAACAGAGTTGGCTGTTCTTTCTTTAGGATAGCCTTTTGCTCTTTGTTTCCCTTCAAGAATGTGAGAAGATGATCTCTTCTACTCTGATTGTAATCTGCTTGAGCATCACTTGCACCTTTTGTGAAATATATTTTCCTCTCATTAAACATTGCACCAGAAACACGATCGATATACACGTCCGATGCTGTATCTTGGTTACTTTTAACTTTCTCTTCATTGATTGAGCCGTCAGCAGCGTGGCATGGTCCATTGAGCGTTGAAGGTATAAACACATTAGAATGAGCCACAGAGATGCATCCATTTAGCAGTTCAACTTTATTCAAGTAACTTCCTCCACTATGTCTTGTAGACACAATAGTACATACTTTGCTCAAATGTCTCTCAGTCCAGTAAAATGGGACTTCTTCATGTCCAGGCCCTTCATCAGCGGCACCGTCCACTCATACACATTCTACATCTTTATTGCAAGCATCCTTAAATGATTCAACGTTTTGGAGCATTGTCAAATCAGAGAGGTGTTGGGCTGGATTCTTGTTGAAGCTCGCTTGGCCTTTAACGACAGCTGCACATAAATCAGAAGTATTTTCAGTTTCCATGATGAAGTATGATGTCACCTGCAAAACGGAAGAATATTTGTTCACAAAATCTGTATGAGTTGTCACTTCTGTGGAATTTGAAGACGAAACCAGTTTGTTTTGTTTGTGTGTATAGGTAGTGTCTAACCAAAAACCAGCTGCATCATCGCGGTTAAAGACGCACTTGTCAGTTCCATCATGCAACTGGACCTTATTCAGACCCTTGTAAAGTGAGCAGCTCCAGTGCGCATCTGGATTAAATTCCAGGGAGAATCCTTTCCTTGCTCTCCTGCATGTAATGCGGGCAACACCTTTAT